TCCCTATACATTATAAAGATGTGAACTGCAATGGGTTCTGGAGTGGATTTGTGCATGTGTGTGTTTTGGGGTTTTTATTGTTTGGAATTTTGGAGAGCTTTTTGTCTTGTTTCAGGGAAGGTGTTAAAGTGTTGGATCTTTGAGGGGTTCTAGTTGTTTTTTTTAGGATTCAATACAGTTAACATCAAATTTTGTATTTTTCAGTGACACAAATGACTAAATTATTTGGTACTTCAGTCAAATAGTCACAACTAGAATTTTCAGGCAATTGATGGAATAGGCTTGTGATCCCTATGCACTGCAAAGAGATGATGCCCTTGTCCCTTAATGCAATCAGGTTTTGAAAATATGTTCTTCATATTTTTTAGAATGGAAGCAATGCTTGATTTCCAACAGCTGAGTTGAATTCTTCCAGTGTTACTTCTCAACATAGCTGAATAACAGAGTGTTTCAGTGGTGGCCTTTGTGTAATCAACACATGTTCTTGTCACTTCGTGCTTGAGAGGAAATTAGAAGACATTTTCCTTTCATACCTATTTCCAGCCAATTTCCTCATCCTTCTCTCTTTTACACATGAGCAATTTTAAGTTGTGTAAATAACACTATTTCCCCTGCTTTTTATTTTAGGTTTCCTTTCCCAACCCCTCTACCCTTGTAGTACTTTGCCTTCTCATCAGAGAATAGGCAGGAAATTATCCAGTTGCATTTTACATTCATTTTATCATTAGTCACTACTACTTAATGTATGTATTTATGTAAATTTATGTCTAAAGCAAATGTTCTTTAATCAGTTTGCACATACCTGAAAAACTTAGGTTTTCAATAGCAAATTAAATAAATGCTCTCAGTGACCATTTGGATTGTTTGCAGGCAAAGTCCAGTTCTGTGAGCATACTGAGACAATGCACATGAACACACATCCTTACAGAAAGCCTCCCCTCTGATTACAGAACATTGTACCAAAATAAACATTAAAAAGCATTTAAAAAAAAAGCTGCACAACCTGAAGCCAGAGCCTCAAGTGATGCAAAGGCCGTGCTGGTTTACACCTGCTGTAACAGGGGTACAACTTGCATCCACAAACCAAATGCATCAGATCTCTCCATCCACAACCAGCACACAGAAAGGGGATGTCCCTTGCATGCAAAGTCGAGTTTAAAGGGTGATCTTGCTGTTGGTAGCAATTCATCCTACCTCAAATCTTCACGACTGTTGCTGAAAAACAGGTCCTGCCTTTTAATTTTTTTTTTATGTCTTTTTATCTTGAGTGTCCTGCACTACAGCAAAGACAAGGGGAGTTAGAAATGTTTGAGCACAGCGCAGACTAATCACCATGTCACTCAAAAGGGGACCTAAACCTTTAAAATCTTTTTTGCACACTGTCATCATTAAAACGCACCGCCTGCTTTCTGATACCGACGGAAACAAAGGGAAACCAGGAGCACCAGAACCTGCAGCACTCGCATCTCTGGGAGAGCAGCGAGCACCACAACAGCAGCAGCAGCAATGGCGAGGGAAAAAACCCTCATTTATAACCAGTGACAACTAAAACCTATGAAGTTTTTAAAAGAATGTGATTGTTGTCAAAAGGAATTGGGTACAACAATGCTGCGTTCAGCTCTGGTTCCACTCAAAGCCGTGGCTGAGGGGCTCTGGGAAAGCTGCTGGAAGGCTGGTGGGCACAGACCAGCAAGAAAGTGAATTTTGCATACTGTACGGATCATCGCTCAGTTCAGGGCAGTCATATTGAATCTGTGATCAACCAATTGTGCTTCATGAAACCGTCAGCCCTCATTTATGTCTAGCTGTTTTCTTCTGTCCTGCTGTAAACAAGCTCTGCTCTGAGCTGTCTCCCTACCCTTATCTGCTTACGAAGATCACACAGACAGACCTCATCAGCAGCCTTAGAGTTAAAGTTACTGCTTCCAGACAGCAGTCCCCATGCAAGCTGGAAGTCAAAAAGAAGAGCAACTTTGGAATGACAGAGTTTTAGTTCCTTTTAGGAAATGCATACCTTAGATTCATACACATACTGGCATGTTATGTCTCTTTCATGAAATTAAATTAGGTGTTCCTAATATGAACAACTGTTTCTAACATCAGCAAACTAGCTCAGCAGATTCATCCATGGTTTTGTTTGTGGGTTGGTTGTCTTGTTGTTGGTTGTTGGGTTTTTTTTTTGTTTTTTCCTTTGGGGCCTTGTTTGAATACAGCCAAAAGAGAAGTAGCTGGAAATATTGTCAATCTGGTAGGGCTCCAAGAACATAATAAGGCCTGATATGCTCCAAGGAGTGTAACAATGGTAAACAGGAACAGGTATGTTGGCTTCTGTTCTCATTCACTTCAGTGAGAGCATTAGCCTTTCAACGGAAAGCAGAGCACAGTTTTCAAAGAATGATCCTCTTGCATAAAAAGGGATAGAGCTTCACTAAGCACTTATTCCTCTGTGAACGCACTCACACACACACAAATGCATTACTTGGTATTTACAGCATTTAATTCTTGCAACCAGCTGCTAAGTCCCTGTTAAGGCTTTCCGTTATGCAGCTGGAGCTGGAACCTTTTCCTTTTTCCCAGCCTATTACTTTGTCTATTTAAGGGATGGCAGCCAAAGAGAAACAGCTTGGTATTTGCACCTGTCTGCTTTAAGTACTCCATGTTAGATTTTGCAGAGAACAAACTCTTCATTGCTAAAGAGAATGACACTTCGGAGGGTCAAAGATATTTTTAGTTGACTCTGCAGCAATCAAAAATAAATAAAATTAAATAAATAAATCACCCCACTCTTTGTTTATTCCAGCTAGACAATGAGGCCAAAGGAAAAGGCTTGTTGTAAAAGAGCAGCTCGCTGTGTGGGTGGAAGATGTAACCCTGTGTGTCTAGTCTAATAGAACACCAGGCACAGCTAGGCATGAGTGAACCTGCACGCTGCCCACGCAGGAGCACGTGGGAGAGCTTTTGCCTCTTCCCCTATAAAACACAGAAATGCTTCAGAAAGCAAACATGTGCTAAGAATCTTTCTGAATTTCTACATACCGGACTGCCTTTTGAGCACCCACAGAAAGCTCTGCTGCCTAGACTGTGAGACCTATGAGAAAATTGATTTTATACAATTAAAAAGAATTGTACACTCCATTCATGAGTATGCTCAGAGGTGTGCAAGCGTGGCCATACATAGCCCCACTAGCTGGAGAGTAAATCAGTGAGGGTGCACATCAAGCAAGTAACCCACGTGTGATCTTTCAGCCCTACACAAATTATCTTAGCACTCTTGCTTCTTGCTGGGAAACAAACGCCGTGCTTTCAGTCAACTTTCATTTACAATTGTACTGAAAGAAACAACAATCTCACTGGTGTATTAGCTCAGTTACTAAGAAGTAGTCTTTTTATTGCTTGCCCTTAAAATAGAAAAGCCCTCAAAAAACTCAAGCTACAGAGCTGATGACAAGAACAAAAATGCCAGGGGAAGAAAAAAAAAAAAAAACTAGAAGGGAAATAAAACAAAGTAAAACATACAATTTATTAAACAAAACATTGGTGCTGCATTTTGATTTCATAAATTGTCCCCATTTGTACTTCCTGCTTAAACAATAACTAACATGATGATGGGTTAAATGAAGTTGAGATTGTCACAAACATGGCCTCACTAGTAATTAATGTAGTTTAATATGGTTGTTGGCACACATCTCACATGACAGATAATGTTCCAACATGTCACTGATAGGACCTTTCAGCACAGCTTTAGGAGATCTACCAGGCATTGCCGAGGTTGGTTGGGTCAAAGGGTTGAACCATGTGTAATTCAGAACAGAAGAGGTCCCACGGTCACTCCACAAAAACAATTACACTACTTATTTCACTCCATCCCTTGCCCGAAATTCACAAGCCTCACAGTTTCAGCGCAGTCAATCTCTCTCTGCCCTGGGGCTATGAGCCACATGAAAATATGTGGTGCTGTGTTTATAAATCTAATCAAAAATAGAAACAGTAGACAAGCACAATGAGGTCCTACTATGGATCATGGGAATTCTCTAAATTCTGAAGGCACTTTTGTTTAACTTCTATGGGCCTTCTCCTACCATTACATTGTCTGGTACTCTCGTTAATCATCTCCTTGACTTGTCAATGCTATAAAGGAGCCTATGCGTCTGCTGACTTCCCTCCCATCACACTACAAATAATATTATGAAATAGCAATGCTAGGAATAGCCCCTTTCAAACTTTTCTCTTTGGAAAGCATGGCTTTTGCTTCACTTACCTCTTTCTCCATGCCAGCCTGCCCTTTCTCAGACCTGCAGCAAAAAACGCTTCCTCCTGCAACAAAGGAAAGGCAGTATATCTGAATTTTCAGTCTGCAGTTCTTAATACCACTAGGTTTAACACCCAGACTTGCAGAGTACCAGTCCATAAACTTGAGGAGATGGGATAGCGGGGGGAGGGAGTCTTTCCTGATGCCATCCCCTCTCTGATCTTGTCAAAGAGCAAAAGGATGATGTAGTGCTGCTCCTTCATTTCTTTTTTTAAAAAAATTTGCATCAGCCAGTTAAAATCTGCTAACAAACATAAACAAAAAACCATAACTTAAGATCAGATGAAGCAATGCCAACAAAAACTTAGCTATAAGTGGAAGTAGGCCAGAAGTAGATAATTTCTACCACCAGAGAGTAACTAGTGACATGACACAGAGTTTGCTGTAGAATACACCTTACCTGAAGACTACAGTACCAAAGCTTTCAAACACAGGAACACTTCTGTAATGTGGCATTTACATGGCTCCTATTTGTGCTTCTTTTCCTATGCTGGGGGTTCCACTGAAAGGATTAAAATTTTCCTCTACTATGAGGTTATAATTTGCAAACATACAATAACTTCACCGTTTATATATCATGTCAGCAAAAAGGCCTCAATTTTATACCAGCTACTTTTGTCTCTATGTGGGAATAAAATTCATTCATTCAAAATGGCCAGACAGGTTGCCCCTGTGGCCACTGAAATCAATGGCAAAACTGAGTCTCACTCCACAGTTTCAGGACCTGACCCACAATGAATAACAAGCTTCTTCCCTGGCCAGATTTTCCCTTGAGCATTTACACAAACACACTTTCAGGTTATTTTGCTGAGCCTGAAAACAAAACAAGAGTTTGAACAATTAAAAATATCCCTTCAGAGTCCCTCAGAAGACTTAGGTGACCTTCTGGGTCAGAAGATGCCCTGTACAAAGTACATGTTTGGCCCCACTTGAGGAAATTCTCTCTCCTGAGGGCACCAGGCAAAGAAGTTCCTAATTCTGAGTATGTGCTTAGATTTCATTGAAATCAATACAATGGACAGTGGATGGGGCCACAAGTGCTCCACGGAAAAAGGTTTCATTGTCACTCCAGTTTCTCACTAATGAATCAAGGGCTGAGCTTTTGCCCAGGCATTGCTGATGCTGAGAGCCTGCTGACCTTTGCCATCACTCCTTGATTTCAGTGTCCTTCTTGGGGTGCCAAGGCCATTGAAGCGATGCTGGGGGCTGTGAATCCAGCAGCTCCTGCTCCTCCTAGAGCCAGCCCCAACCAAACAGCCCCTGCACCACAGCCCACAGCTGTTGCAAAGCTCTCTGCCCCAGGGCACTGTGCAATATTGAAAATAAAGCCCCAGCAAGACCCTGCAGAGAGGCTCAAGCCACAGATCTGGTCATTGTATGTCTCAGAAAACAACTCCAGTCCCAAATCCAAAATCTGGGATGGGTTTTCAGGACAAGGTAGTATGTGCCTTTCTTTTCCAACTACTGGAACTGAACATCCACTGAAAGTACTTGTTTCAAGCCCAATAGCATGGCATATAGCTTGTTACAACTCAAAGGGGAACAGCAGAAAAGAACCACCTGTATGAACCAAAAGCAACAAAACTTGAAAGGGCTCCTTTCCTCCTCAAAGTAGAATGGTGAGAAGCTATCAGCAGAAGAGAGCTGATCAAGACATAAACTGTGAATGCAACATTTTCATCCATGGTCAAGATCTGTGCGTTGTAGAAGAGCCAAAGATGCAGCAATAAGGACTAGTGAAGCCAGAGCAGCCCAGGAATCCAAACATTAATGGGAAGACTTGGAGTTGCATCTTTAAAAATGCGATTGATTAAATAAGGACAGCAAAGGCAAAGACAGATAAACAATGAGCTCAGAAGAGACATTAATAACATCAGGGTCATAACACTGATTTTCTTAGAGTTCGAGAACTTCCTATTATTTGGGTTTTCCAGGAAATTTATTTTTGTTTGTTTGCTTTGGTGGGGGACACTTCATTGTTTTTTTCTTAAATGAAGGTGTTAGACATTGCTTTTCCTTTTATCTTTATAGTACCAAATGCAACACATTCAACTCTGCATCAACTGATGCTGACTGTGGCCTTAGTTAACCTCTCCAGCCTATTTTCTTTAGCTGGATAACGGCTGAATCATTAGCATTCAACTAGCTTGCAGTCCTGAAAGAATACAGCAAAAACAGAGTACATGATCTTCTCAGCAATCAAAACATAACATAAAAAGTATCTGAGATCCCACCAGGTATTTTATTTCATACCTGGCTGATGTATTTTGCATTAATTAGGGATGGACTTCAGTTATTTTTAAGTGCATTTGTAGTAAAATGGCAAAGCAAAAAAATTACTTAGAAGTTCTTGAATTGGATAGTCCATTTTGTTTTCTAATTTTTCACCCAATTATGCTCTTTTCCCCCACAAGAGGAAAAACTAAGGATGCTAGATTAAATATGCAAGATACATTAATAACTTTCTGTAGTGAAAGCAATGTATTTTTTAATACAAAAATGGAGGAATTAGAGAGATGCACAAAAACACTCTTTTAGCACCACAACGCTATTAACAGGCTCCCATCACCAGCTGCAGCTCTGGGAGAGATCAAAACAACACACTTTTTCACTGGAGCATGCTCAGGTACATATTTTTCAATACGGCTGATATTTTATGCTGCATCAGCCACCAGAAATCACTTTGACCAATGTACAACAAGGGCCTTACAAACACAGCCATAAAACGTACAGTTTTCACCACGCTGCCACACGGAAGGAAAGAACCCTCCTGTTGGTAGCTGTGCACCCAGAACCTCCCCAGGGTGCACCCCAATGCCCAGGCACATTATCAAGGAGAGCAATGCCCAGCAGAGCTGAGGTGTTGGAGGAGAAGCAGTGGGTTCATGGCAGGAGAAGCAAAGCAACAGTTTGTCATGGCAGGGGCTGCCCTCGCTGCTCCCACACCTTCACCTGGGGCACCATCTATCACATGCTAAGAAGCAGTGCTGTGGGATCCCTGTGCTACAATATCGGCAGAAACCACTGAGTAAATGATAACCCTAACAGCCCCGCTTGTAATTCCCTTTGGACTCTCTCATAAATACCAGGTAGCCGGCCTTGCTCTTTAAGAAATATTTCTTCAGGGGAAAATTGCACCTCCAGTGAAGAGAATCCATCAGTCACTTAAATTCAGCAGGGCTGACCTTTGAAGCCAAAAGCACTGTGCTTATCCTCCTTTAATCATCAATTTTGGGAGCAGGTCCTTCAAAGTAATTTCAGATCCATGCTATATTTTTTCTTTTTAATTTTTTTTTAATTTATAAAGAAAGGAGTTTTCTGCAATATGCCTTTATAAAGATCATTAACACACTCAAAATTAGGCTCACAATAAAGTCATTCACTTGATAGGTTGTGATGTTCCTAGCCTTTTTCTGTGTGCCTGAAAAGATGGATAGATAAACGATTTTTCTGATGATAAACCTCAGTAGGCAGCTAAGCACCACTCAGCTGCTCACTCACTCTCAGTGGAATAGGGGCTAGAGTCAGAAGGATAAAAGTACAAAACCTCATGGGTTTAGATACAGACAGGATTGAAGGGGATTTAAAAGATCATCCAGTTCCAATTCTCCTACCATGGGCAGGGACACATGTCAGTAGACCAGGTTGCTCAAAGCCTCATCCAACCTGGCCTTGAACACTGCCAGGGATGAGATATTCGCATCTTCTCTGGGAAACTCACCACTCTCCAGTAAAGAATTTCTCCCTAATATCTAATCTAAGCCTAATCTCTTTTAATTTGAAGCCATTTCCTTTTGTTCTGTCACTATGTGCTCTTGTAAAAAATCTTTCTCCATCGTTCTTGTAGGCTCCATTCAGGTACTGAAAGGTCATGATTAGAATATCCTGAAGCCTTCTCTTTTCCAGGCTGAACAACCCCAGTCCCTTAGCCTTCCCTCAAAGGAAAGGTGCTCCATCCCTCTGATCATCTTGGTGGCCCTGCTCTGGATTTGCTCTGACAGGTCCATATCCTTCTTCCTGTGCTCAGGGCTCCAGAGCTGGAAGCAGCACTCCAGGTAGGATCTCACCAGGGCAGAACAGAGTGGTAGAATCACTTCCCTTGCTCTGCTGGCCATGCTGCTTTTGATGCAGCCCAGGATATGGTTTGCCTTCTGGGCTGCCAGAGTTTATTTTTTTTAATTAAAGGAAAAAAAGAAAAGGGAGCAGGGAGGGAGCCACAAGTAAACAGTGATGCAAAAGGAAACAATTGCTCACCACCAACCGACTGATGTCCAGCCAGTTCCCAAACACCTTTCACCCACTCCTCTCACACTCTGTTTTGTTGCTGGACATGACATCATATGTTATGGAATATCCATTTGGTCAAATGGGGTCAGCTGTCCCAACTTCTTCCCCCCACAACCTCTTGCATAGCCCCAGCCCACTCACTGATGGGGTGGTATGAGAAACAGAAAAGGTTTTGACACTTTGTAATCGCTGTTCATCAATAGGTAAAACATCCCCATGTTATCAACACTGCTATAACAAACCCAAAACACAGCCCCACACAAGCTACTACGACGATATTTTATCTCAGCCCAGACCAGCGACTGCTGGGGAAGTTGGAAATACCAAAATTTAGGTTTTATGCCACCATTCCAATATTCTCATTTCCCATCAAATGGAAAGCACCACACATGAACGTTGACCACACCATTTCAGAGCCTGACTCAGGGTCAGGGATGACCATCTCCCGATGAAGCCCCAGGGCTCATGTTTAAGAGTAACTAAATTTTTAGTGATCTTCACCTGACAGTCACTATTGAGGAAGGAACAAAGCCAGCCCCAGCCTGGACAAATGCCTTTCCAGAATGGGATGAAAAGCTCACAGTCTTTCTTTCCAGGCTTTGTTTTTTTATGCTTTTTTTTTTGCTTTTTTTTTTTTTTTTTTGCAGATCTGCTTACTGCAAGACTTGGAGGCAGCTCAGTAGCAGG